TTTCTTTGTCAAGTACAAAAGAGTTGAAAAAAACAAGGAAGGGAGGCAGGACAAATAGTTTAAAGAATGTAAAAACGGTGAAAGAAATGGTAGCTATCTATATTTAAAGATATAAGTATTCTTTAGCTGATTTTAATTCAGTGAAACAGTGATTTTATAGCTACACACTGTTTAAAAAAAAAAAAAAAAAAAGTATTTGTAAAAGTACAGATTTTTTAAAGATCTTTTTTGAAATCAACATTAAAATTTTTTTATTTTATTTTTTTAGATAAAATCTGATTGTAAAACAACAGTTAATTTTTTGTAATTATTATAATTCTAATTATTATTTTTCCTCTATTTATTTATTGTAACCATTTTACAAACCTCAAAATACATCATCTCTTTTTTTAAATGATGGCAAATATCTGTAAAAATAGCATTTTTTCTGATTTAAATACAGTAAAAAAATATTTTCTTTTATGGTCAACCATGGTTAACATGTTAATTTTGTATTTTTTTTCTGTAATTTTGTTAGTTATAATCTTTAATTTAACAAAACAGGGAACATCTGTAAAATAATGGTTTAAAAACAATCCCTGTTAAAAACTCTCACAACAGTTTCTAATTTTTGTTGCGTTGAGGCATTCGTGCAGGTTTTCTGTCAACATTTGGGGAAGTAATTATTGATTATAAGCACGAAACACCTCATAACCTGCATATTGGTGGATTTTGTAGCAAATCCAAGCAGTTTGTGCAGCAAATTTTTAGAAAACTAGTCCTCTACTTCCTTCATGCTTTTCTGGAGGGACACAAATGCACACATCCTGAATCTTGAACCCCCTGGAGTCTAGCTGCTCTAATATTTCTTTGTGAACAGTCCTGCTGTCGTGCACATGGAGATGCAGATACAGCTGCACACTAAATCACACAGACCGGCTCTGTTTTCAAAAAGTCAGTTAGCTGAGATGTTTTGCTTCCTCCTTTTCTTTCACTTAATGCGTGCGTGTCGAAGCTGTTTCACTGTACCTCGAAACTCATTAGAGTTTATTCTTTTCCACATTTCACGGCACCTGCTGTGCGAGGGTAGCAGCTGTTATTTTGGTGAGCGGTTCGAACAGATGTAACAGACTATGAAAGCAACAGGTGCCCGCTGTCTGCACGCCGCGGCCAAAACCGTTTGCATAATGGAGTCGGAAGGACGATTCTTTTTCTGTTAATGTTTGCGTCTATTTTAGGAAAGGTTTTGCGTTTGGTTAATGGGATGATACATCAGATAGCAGAAAGGAGGTCAGCGTCTATTTACACTGTACTGTTATGAAAGAGGAGGCAGATTTCACGGCGTGACATGTTCGCAAACATGAGAGAAAATGAAATATATGAGTAAAACGGACAAGGATTTTGAAAGTGAGCAAATAAAGCGAAGCCTGAATTAACACAGAAGTCTTTGTCAGCACCAGTAGCTGCAGATCTAATCAGACATTCACTTTGCCCATGTCGCTGCAACATCTTTTTGTCCGTTCTGTCTTTATCTGACCAATACTTATTTACCATTTATCTTTTCTTCTGCAGTCCCTCTCCTAACCATAAAAAAATCATCTATACAGAAGTTCATTTAAGAGGCTTTTAAATAAAATACAGAAAAATGGTGAAATATAAGCACTGATGTCTTACCAAAAGGCATCAGGCAGTTCATGTGGTGTTCTGTGGAGGTTTTCACCGATGAAAACACACATTTCTTTTAATAAGGTGTCTACACTGGAGCTGCAACGACTATTAAATCCGTCACCAACTGTTCTTTTCTTTGATTAATCATTTAGAGAAGAACATGTATAAAGTCTCTTATTGAAAGTTCTTAAGTTCAAGTATTTTCTAGTTTCTTTCCTCCTCTATGGCAGTCAGTTGAGTATTTTTGGATTGTTGATGAAACGAGACATTTTCTAGTTTATTTTTGATATTAAACCTCCTGCATTGTTCTTCTTGTTTGTGCTGATGTGTTTCTATGGTTGCCACTCCAAAATCACAACTTAAATAATTATAATAATCGAAACATATATTTATTTTTTGAGGGCTGCACGGTGGCTTGGTGGTTTGCATCGTTGCCTCACAGCTAGAAGGTTCACGTCCCAGTGAGGACACCCGGGATCTTTCTGCGTGGAGTCTCCATGTTCTCCCCGTGCAGCGTGGGTTCTCTCCGGGTTCTCCGGCTTCCTCCCACACAGTCCAAAAACACGTTGAGGTTAATTGGTGATTCTAAATTGTCCGTAGGTGTGAATGTGAGTGTGCTTGGTTGTCTGTCTCTAAGTGTAGCCCTGTGATAGACTGGTTACCTGTCCAGGTGAACCTGCCTTCACCCTGAGTCAGCTGGGATAGACTCCAGCCCCCCATGACCCTAGTGAGGATTAAGTGGTGTATAGATGATGGATGGATGGTACAAGTAAAATTAAAAGTCTACAGTAAACACACATATTAATCATCCAGCTAGAGGTCCTTCCATCCATGTGGTGGTTTATTGTTGATACTAAATCAGTTCTGTGCTCGGGTCAGAAAAAGTCGGATGTGAAAGATATTTGGGACCATGAGGCATAAACAACGAAAAAAACCAGTGTACTAACTGTCCCTGAAACAGGATGCTGGTATTATTCAGCTCCGTCTGTCTCGACCTGCTTCACTGTCTGTTTGTCGGCCGTCTGGTTCGCTGTGTTCTGGTAATTCAACACGAGCTCAGGTGTGAGAAGGTGCGTTTCAGAGAGCAAACTGGAAACCGTGACTCAGTGTTCAACGTCAGACGTTTGTTTTTGAGGCTCTTCAGGAGGTGCTTGTCTTCACGACAACACGTACCGAAACAGCAACACCCTTATTAAATGGAATTCTCTTTTCTAGCTTCCGTTTATCGTCTCTTTCACCTGGACTCGTGTTCGCGGTGAGCAGCTGCCTTTTGATGCGGGACGTGTTGCAAGAATTTGGCAGCTACTTCTTTCAAGAGGGTGAGGGCTTTTATTGCCCGCATTAGATCAAATGAATTTATGGCTTTTATGGCGAGAGAGGTTGAAGACTTCCTTTGTACTCAGCTTAATGCTCATTGCGCTTGATGGAGCTCAAAGAGTAATAATACCAACAGTGCACCTTTATCTAGTGGACGTGACGCAGATAATGTGCCAGTGTGTGCTCTTACAACACGCTGCCTGGAAATATTTGCATGAAATGTAGATATTTGCAGATCACGGTGCTATTGTCCAGGTCGTGATACAATAAACGTGTTGCTTTTCGTGTGTTTGTGAAGCTGTGGTGTGAAGAAATGCATGCAATGAATTCAACTGCTTCCTTCAGGAACCTGCTGTATGCATCTGTAATGATAATTATAATTCTTTCTACTGCACGGTGCCTGACAAGACATTAGAATACACAAAGCAGTAGAGAACAACAACACAATAAAGAAGACAATAAAGCAGTAGAGCAGCTTTAAAACGGGCAATAAAAGCGTATCAGAGAATAAAATGTTACACAGATGCTGATATTTACAGATGTACAGTCGTGAAACAAACACTTGTGTACATCCTGGCAGTCTTTAGTTTTCAGTGACTCCTACAGCTCATAACTTTCAATCATGGAATCATTGAAACAGGCATCTTTGTCACACAAAAACACCATCATGCATTTTGCTTCTCTTATAGATTTATCGTAGGTCTTCTGGAAAATCTGATGGGTCGAAAATATATATACAGCAGCTTGAGAGGGGACATTTAAGCATATCTTATCATTGCTATATGTATACTTTTGATCCAGCTGATTTGGTCATATGTAAAGAAGACCTATAGGAATTGTATGGAACAACCAACATGCATGATTGTTCTTTGTGACAAAGACGTGGGCGATTCAGGGATTCCATTGGAAACTCAAGACGGAAATGATATACCCGGTTTTAACAAGTCTAAGTAAACTTTTGTTCATGACTGTATAAAATGGATGTCCAGCATTTTAAAGCAGTATTTCTCCTATTAACACATTTTATCGTTTAATTGCCACTGTGCTGTATTATCGGTCATTATCTGTTTAAGAACTAGCACTCACTTATTCATGCTTCACATTTAACCCTTTATAGGGCACTCCTAGAAATACTTAGAAAATGAAAATTTTCGTGTTATTGAAGGATATTTTAAGATATTTTTGCTTTTGTGACTTTAAAAAGAAAAAAATATTGGAAACTAAGATTAATAATGTTACCATATGTGGTAACTTTCCCATCTAGGGTTAAAAAATAAATAAATAAATAAAAGAAAAAGTAACAAACTGCAAAAAGCATTTATTTAGAAACGTTTTAGTTTGAGGTAACGATACACAACCAGTGACAAAGTATTTATAAAGTGCTTGGCAAGTTCATGTAGTCACATTTGTATATATACATGTATATAATATTATTATTTTCTTTGTTTATTTTATCTTCTTTTTGCACTGTTTGAAAATTTTATTTATTTATTTTTGCTTTTTTTTTTTTATCCCTTTCTCTCTCTCTCTCTCTTTATCTTCTTGTGTGTTTTATTCTTATTCATCTTTTTAATATTGTTTAATCGTGTGGAACAGATGCACAAAGCATTTCACTGCGTGTTCCACCATGTATAACTGTGTTTGTGACCAATAAAGGCCTTGAATCCTTGAGTCCATTTTTCATGGGGTGGTGGTTTTGGCACTAATCTCAAACAATAAATCAAAGTGGAGTTCAAGGCAAACCAGTGACAAAGCGTTTATAAAGTGCCTGGAACATTTGTTTAGTTTTTCATAAGGTAGTAATTTTGGCACTAATATAAAAACTAAATCAAAGGTCACCTGGTTGTTCAACCTCAAGGAGAGGCACAGGACGGACAGACTGAAGGAAGTTACCAAATATGGTCACTTGCCCCCTAAAGGGTTAAGGCTGTCTAAAACTCTGCTGCATTATAAGATAAATGCTAATTAGCTGCTTGTGAATGTGTAAACTTCTACCTCCATTCCTAATACGTTTCCTCCTTCTCTGTTCCTCGCAGTCACCGTTGGCGCTGGCGAGCGGGTGCTGTTGTCGGGGCCCGTTGACATGCGTTCCCCCTGAGCTCGGACACGCCCGTCTCAGTGGTGTGGTGGCAGGATGCCGGTGCAGGCGGCCCAGTGGACAGAGTTCCTGTCCTGTCCCATCTGCTACAACGAGTTCGACAGCAGCGGCCACCAGCCCATCAGTCTGGGATGCTCCCACACGGTGTGCAAGACCTGCCTGCACAAGCTGCACCGCAAGGCCTGCCCCTTCGACCAGACGCCCATCAGCACCGATATCGACCTGCTGCCCGTCAACTGCGCCCTGCTGCAGCTGGTCGGAGCTCAGGTGAGGCAGAAGGAAGGCCTGTTTGCATGGGAGCGATCGTGCTGCTGCTGTTTTGTGTGTTCATGTATGTTCTGTGTGTTGTCAGGTCCCAGACGTTCAGCCGGTGAGCCTGAGCAGCGCAGCAGAGGTCGAACACTATGAGGTCTGCAGGGTCTGTGTAGAAGAGCTGGCTCTCTACCTGAAGCCCATCAGCGGAGCAAAAGGTACAGTATATGTATGGGCAGTATATGATGATGATGATGAAGGCTCTGATGGTACATTTGGACATTTGTGAAAGAGAATTAAGCGCTTCATGTTCCCTGTGCGGGGGCTGCAGTTGAGCTGCCTGCCTGCGTTACTTGGCATTCATACTTCTCACACTCCTCATGACGCTGGAAGCTTCTGTGCTTTTATGGTGCTGCAGGAAAAAAAAAAAATCAGCTCTCTGCGTAACCAGATAAGACAGATTAGTGAAACTGACCAGTAGTTCCAGGCCTCGTTCAGCCAATTCCGGTTGACGGCAACGGTGGCAGCCTTCGTCAGTTTTTGGCTATTAGCATCACTTTGACAGTTCACAGCTGATCGCATCTGAATTCCTCAGACGCACAAACAACAAAAAGCGAGAATTCGGTGGGAGGTTAGATCGACCAACCTCCTGAAAAGAGGCCTTTGAATCCACCTACAGTGCAAAACTGGTTGTAACAGGCTCCCGATTGCAGCTGTTCTTTTTGTGTGGGAGGATGAAATTGTATTGCTTTTTATTAGATATATCATTTATAACATTTGGAAAATGACACAGTTTAACGCCGCGGCTGTCCCTCGTCACAGGTGTGGCCACCCTGAGTCCCAGCGTGCTCAGCCGGCCCATGCAGAGGAAGCTGGTGACGCTGGTGAACTGCCAGCTGGTGGAGGAGGAGGGCCGGGTGAGGGCGGTGCGGGCCGGCCGCTCTCTGGGGGAACGGACCGTGACCGAGCTCATCCTGCAGCACCAGAACCCCCAGCAGCTCTCTGCCAACCTCTGGGCAGCGGTGAGGGCACGTGGCTGCCAGTTCCTGGGACCTGGTGAGTGATTTGGACGTCACGCTTGGAGACTCTGAGGCCATCTGAACTTTTTTCCCATAATGTGAGAGATATAAATGGCACCACTTTGAAATTTGGATTAAACATTTGCTTTTTTTTCTTGTAATCATCATTAAGATGCATTGTGCAGTTAAAGACTTCACTTGTACAAAACTAAGATGGCACATGTTGGAAGAAGAACATTAAACATGATTCATTTCTTCCTTGCATCAGTGCTGTTAACATAAAATTAGCTTAAATTGGATTTAAAGAGCCTATAATATGCTTTTTTTTTTTTTTTAGATTTTTCCTTTTTCTTTAGCGTGTTCTGTCGCTGCTTTGCATTGCATGTGAACAGACAGCACAGGAAGTCATTTTCTTCTACGGGAAGCACTGCTCCTTACCTGCCTGACACGCCTCGTTTGAAATCCGGGCTTTTCTTCCGTTACTTATCTACATCACCGTGTTGCATATTTGCCTAACGCCTGTCTGTCGGCTGGGTTTGCATGACCTCAAACAAAGAGCGAGCAGCTTCCTTGTCTGCCACTATTTCCTGCTGGAGCTACATGTCTCCGGCTGTACTATTAGATCATGAAGTTATGACACATGACAAATAATACTTAGCTTTTGTTGAACCAGTTGATGAAAACCATGTTTTGTTTTTGGGTTTTTGCAAGGGCACCTTAAAGAGATTAAAGAGAAAATGAATGTGTTTTTTGAACATTAAAGCATACAAACATATTAAAGTAGACCTCCAAAATAAAATTCTGAACCTGTAAACGTGCATAATATGGGCTCTTTAATGGTAATTTTATCATAGCTACACTAAACCTATTGGACTAATACTCTTGAATTGACTTGACTGTCAGACATTCAAATATTTAAAAGAATTTCCAGCCTTTTGAGTCCGTTAACTGGACTCATTGTGTTCAGAAGTTGCCCTTCAGATTGCCTTCGTTGCCTGTTCATTGTTGCCTCGTCAGACTGGCTGCTGCTGCTGGAACCGGGTGTCCTGTGATGATTGCTCATAGGGCAGATTCTGACTGGGAAAGTGTTTCTCATCATGATAACAGAATGAGTTCATTTCTGAGGACACCTAGTTCCAAGAAACCTGTGTGTGTGTGTGTGTGTTAGAAATAGACTCGTCAGCGGTTGAGTCTTTATTTAATCAGTGGAGAAAATTAAAATATGTATTGTTTGCAGTGCTGGCATGCATATGTATGCTCACCTGTGACTCAGTGTGTCACTGCTGAACGTCTCCCTCTGATGCTTATACTCCTGTTGTCTTTCTGGCTCCCTCCAACCATCTTCCTGTGATCCCCTCCCTATATATCTCCCTCCTACTTCTACTCATCAGCTATGCAAGAAGATGCACTGAAGCTGGTGTTGCTGGCTCTGGAAGACGGCTCAGCTCTGTCCAGGAAGGTGCTGGTGCTGTTCGTAGTCCAGAAGCTGGAGGCTCGGTTCCCCCAGGCCTCCAAAACCAGCATCGGCCACGTGGTGCAGCTGCTCTACAGGGCCTCCTGCTTCAAGGTACAAACGGCGTAAACTAGTATCGATACGCGAGGAAACCGCACGAAGGAACGCGTGAGCGAGCTGCTCTATCAAGTGCTCCATTTAAATAGACGGGAAGCAAACCACAGCGCTTTGAATTTGTCAAAAGAACCTCAGTTTGGTGCCGTCCCAAGAAGCCTAGCCATAATAAATGACCTCATTAATGAAGAGTGTTTAAATAGATCCTCATTTACCACCACGGATTCCTTTGGTGCAGAGATAACGCTCCAAAGGAACGTCTTTTATGTCACCATCTGTAGAGGTACTTTCCAAAACTCGTGCAACTTAATGGAATTAAACAAAAACAATGATTTTATTGGAGTCCATCAAAGTGTCTGAGTGAACTCTGGGAAACCCCCGTCAGCCAGATGAACACGACCCAGCGTGACCGTCGCGCTATGTATTAAAAACTGATACCACTAATTTCATAGAATATCTGTAATAAGGATATGGGCTTCTATAGATATATTTTGTGTGTGTATTTTTGTGCCTGTTATCTGATGACAGACATCGCTGGCAGGGCAGAAATGCAAGCTATCTGCTGGTGATGTAACAGCGGTCTATATTTGCCCTTGTTGCCCCGGCTCGCGGGAGACGGACAGCTCGGAGATACTGAGAAACCAAGTCGGAGAGCAGACGAGCAGGGATGGACAGCAGACGATTGTGTTTAAGATTCGTACGCTGCCGGTGAACGTGTCGGTGTCTAATGATGATTACTCATAGGGCAGATTCTGAGAAGGGAAAAAAATCCCTTCAGATGATCTGTGTTTGAGTTTGTGAGTCTGAAGACGCCACATGTGCACAAAAGTCTGTAAATTCTGTCGCATTTATCTGGAAAATTGCTGCTCTTCTTTCTTTTTTTTTTTAAGGAATATTTTACCCTAAAGTGAAAATTTTACTGATCTCACTGGGTAACGCTAATTAAATGCGCACTGAGGGCAAAATAAACAAACATGAAATCGTTCCAAAGTAATTATGCAGCATATTTAATATTAAAATGTAAATTAAAAGTAGATGATTTCACAGTGGGTTCAAAATGATAATAGTTACCTCTGTAACTCAGATTGACTCTCTGCCCACACAAACATAATGCAAAAACACAAACAAAACAGAATTAAAACTACATTTTCTTGCAAGCAGAGACACTAGCATGTAATGTTATGTCATACAAAGAAGTGATAGAAGTTTAATTTGAGGTTTATGTAAAGGTTTGATTGTTCTACTGGAACCAAAAGTCTTTAAAAAAAACTCTCATCCTCCCTCGTTCTGATTCGCTCTCTCTCCGTCAGGTGACTAAGCGCGACGAGGACTCCTCGCTGATGCAGCTGAAGGAAGAGTTTCGTACGTACGAGGCTCTGAGGAGAGAACACGACGCTCAGATCGTCCACATCGCGATGGAGGCCGGCCTGCGGATCTCACCCGAGCAGTGGTCTTCTCTGCTGTACGGAGACCTGGTTCACAAGTCACATATGCAGTCCATCATCGACAAGGTGCCGGGCTGTTCCTCTCGCTAACAAGTTATCAGAGAATAGATGCATAGATCTGATCTGTTCTTTATGTTTTCTAACACCCTCTCCTTCCATCTGCTCCAGTTACAGTCTCCGGAGTCATTTGCAAAGAGCGTTCAGGAGCTGACAATCGTTCTGCAGAGAACAGGAGACCCTGCCAACCTCACAAGCCTTAGACCACACTTAGAGCTACTCGCCAACATAGATCACAACCCAGGTGACTTCACTTTGTTTAACACTGCTCCTCCAAATAGATGCTCAGAGTCTCAACATTCAGCGCTTCTTCCTGTAAAACATTATGAAGTGAAGAGAATCTGTGGCACTCATTTACCAAAACGCAATTTGCAAGTGCAAAAGAGAAAATGCAAAACTGTGATTCATCTCATGTGTTAAAGATTCATTAATCAAAACACAGTGACTAAGCATCTCGTTTGATGCGAGCTTGACTTGTTAAATATTCACTCGGCGCCCAGGAATGTTTTCTGTGTTGCGGTTCTCTGTTAAAATTTGCTTCTGGCGTAATGACAAATCGGCAGTATGTTGTTCCGCCGCCATTTAAATGATGGTATCGTTCACGCTACGTTAGCACAGATAGGTAATTTGTGTGCGGTGTGATATAGATGATGCTGCGGGGATGCTATATACCTGCTGAGCTGCTGTCTCACCGCCAACAGGAATTGTTTGGAAACTCTGCAATATAGATGCTAAACGGATGATAATACTGGCTCTGGGGATGCTGCTGCCAGTCTGTCCATAACTTAATTAAAAGTGAAATATGTGGACAGCTATTTGATGCTGTGAAATCTTGTGCAGCCATTTACTGACTGAGGCGGATGAAATCTGCTGACGTTTACGACCTCCTGACTGCCACGAGGATGACATTTTTGAATTATTTTTTTGGCTATTTTAAGCCTTTATTAGATATCGAGATGTTCTTCCGAATCTGCACTAAACACGCTGTGTGTCGTTGATCTCGCGTGCAGATGCTCCCACGCCATCCTGGGAGGAGCTAGAGAGTGTGATGCTGGCCGTGAAGCTGGTGGTTCATGGACTGGTGGAGTTTATACAGAACTTCAGCAAGAAGAGCCACGACACTCCACAGGTACACCGGAGCGAGAGGATGAAATGAACACTTGTGTTTTTATAAAATGCATGAGATTAGATGGGAAGGGCCGCAAGCTTGGGAGAGATCATAAACATAATATCTGTACTGGGTGGAAATAGTTCTTAGAGGACAACCTGTACTTCCAGCCACCGTCCTGCAGCAGCACACCGTGTTCCTCCAGACTATGGCATCTAGGATAGTTAAAAGGACATTACGTGGTCTTTGGCCATTTATAGCATCTCGGTAATGGTTGTGGGCTCAGCTAAATAACTATCAATAATTCAACTGGTCCAACAGCGTTAAAGTGATGTTAACATTTAGCAGATAATGCAGCTGGGAGGACTGGTTTCTAACAGCACGCACGGTGTTGGAAATTGACGAAATTGGCTCCTGTGTGCAGAAATTCTCATTTTCTGTAGGAGGAAGGGAGATGTGTTTGTAGTGCAAGGTTTTTCAAAGACAGTGGGTCCCAAAGTGGGG